GCTGCCTGACGGCGGGAAAAGCCGGAACGGCCGCGATGTGCGTTGGGGCAATGGTTCGTCTCTCCTCCGCCTTCTGAAAGCGGCTCTCGCCACGCGATTCCCTTTGTGGTGAGACTGGCAGGATTTGCTTGTGGGTGGCAAACCTGGAGCTCCACACCCGACTTGTGGACTCTGCTCATCCTGTCTAAGGAGCTGCGGCCTCAGCGCCCTGTGAAAAGGCAGGAGGAGGCAAGCCTGGCCTCAGGGGCTGCATGCCATGGGTCTGACCTCTGTAGCGTGGTGGAAATGGAAATGGAGAGGTCTTTGAAGGAGGGATGTAAGAAAGCATCTGCTGGAGGGGCTGGTGTGAGCCTGCCTTGGGCTTGTTTGACCCAGTGCCTTGCCGGGAGCTTGCTGATGGGACCAACTTATGGAAACTGCTTCCCTGGGTAAAGCCAGGAGCTGTGGGGATCCGTGTGAGCTTTCCAGGTGGGCTCAGTTATGCGAAGCAGTCAGGCAGCCAGTGTCCCTGGCACCACGTGTACAGGAGCTGTGTGCTGGGCCGTGAGGTCCTGGAGCCTCCAAATAACCCATGAACTTCTTCAGGGCTGCAGAGTCACCGTGTGACCCTGTGGCTGTTCTCCCTGCCTGCCTGCACCCCAGCTGAGGGAGCTGTGGGGAGCTCAGCGAGGAGATGTGCCCCGGCTTGGAGCTGCAGGGCTCCGTGCCTGCCCTCACAGAGATGCAGGATTTGGAGGTCTGTGCCGAGGCTGAGGAATGTCCCCGCTCAGCTGCCCCCAAGCTCCTCTGAGGAAAGGCGAGGAGGTCAGACAGAATTAGGTCCTGCAGGGAACTGTGCAATCAGTCAGCGTGACTCTCGCAGTGACCTCTGCACATCAGCCACAAGCGTTGGCAGCTCTGTCACAGCTCTGGCATCCTCACGCTGGGTGGTTCCACGTTGAAGGGGTCACTTCTTACAGGGTAGTTACCTTAAAATCCAGGTAGTGGCGTGAGCCCGATGTGTCCCTGTTTGTCTCGAGCTGTGCTGCCGCAGGGATCCCTGCAAGGTGTGTGGGACCGGGGGGTGTGTGGCCGTGCTTGTGCTGCTTTGCTGTTCGGCTGCAGCTCGGTGCAGCCCAGGAAGGCAGGAGGAGTGTGTTTGCTGTGAGAGCACGGATCAGCAGCAGCTGCAGGCCCTCTCCTGGCTGCTGCTGAGAGAGGTTTATCAGTGTTACTGGTGGTTTGGACAGTCTGCCTCAGGTCTTGCAGACAGACTGTGTTTAAAGGTTTTCGTCGTGGCTGTGGGCTGAGAAGAGGAACTACTGGAGTGTGAACTGCAGCTCTGGTGCATGGTCTGCAGCAAACAGCTCTGGGGCAAATGCCGTGCTGTGAACGTCTGCTTCGGTGGTCCATGAGGGGATCAAGGTTGGAGCTGTGCTCCTTGTCCCCCCACTCTTTTGGGTGGCTCTGTTTCTAATCTTCTGCTTTTCTCAGGTCTCCTGGAACCCCACCACGGACATGTGGTGGCACGAGCTGATGAGCAGCGCCAGCACAGAGTGCGAGCCTGAGTGGTGTGACTCGGAGGACGAGCTCTTCATCCTCTACACAAGTGGCTCAACTGGGAAACCCAAGGTATGCTTCCCCCCTCGCTGCCACAGGGCCAGGCTGAACCACAATAACATCTCTGCTGAGAGAACTGGCAAAGGTCATGTTGGGAGGCCCCAGTAAGAAGAGGACCCATAAAGGAAAGGGGCTGTGCTGGTCATTCGTGCTCAGCTGCTGGAGTGATGATGGTCAGGAGGGTGAGGGCACTGGTGGGAGCTTGCCCTGACAGTTGTGTGCTTTCTCCTCACAGGGTGTGCTGCATACGGTGGGTGGATACATGCTTTATGCTGCCACCTCATTTAAATATGTGTTTGATTACCAACCTGATGACGTCTACTGGTGCACAGCTGACATCGGATGGATAACGGGACATTCCTACCTTGTTTATGGACCCTTGGCAAACGGGGCAACTGGTGTGTTAGTAAGTGCTTAGACGGCAGCTGGGTGGTGCTGAGCTGCATCCCTGCGTTGCTCTGTGATGAGCGTTCTCGCTTGCACATCCCCAAGGAGGGGCATGGGTGACTGCCTCAATGCAGATGGGGAAGCTCGTGTGTGTGTGTGTGTGTGGCGTTTGGGTGGATTTTTCAAATACCCCCCTGCTTCTTTCCCTTAGAAGCACAAGCCTCATGTTCCAGAGGAGTCAGGGCTGCTGTGGGGTAATGTGAAAGCTGGATCAGGAGCAGAGAGTGACATTTTCACTGCTGGTGCTGATTTGATAACCTGCATCTCACTCCTGTGCGAGTGTCTCCCTTGGCAGTGTATGGCTGTAACTTTGTGTACCAATGAGGGAGCCAGAGGCCTGTGCTCAGGCTGCCAGGGAGTCCTTTTTGGGATTCTTAGTACTTTTAGTTGTGGGTCTGTCACTGTTGGGACTTCTTGCCCTGTACCATGTGGGTAGGGTCATTTGGCCGGGTGGGACTGTAGCCACCCACGTGCCTGTGCTGTTTCAGGGGGAGTTCAGGGAATGTTTGCTGGGATGCCTGGGGTGGGGGGATGCCAAATCCATACCAAGAAAGCAGTAAGAGCTATTCCTGGGCTGGGCTGGTTTTGGTGCATGGTGCCCCTGGCATTCCTAAAAGGACATCCCTGCCTGGGAGGGCACTGCAGGTGGGTGGCGGTGAGGAACGGCTGTGTCACTGCCCTATCTCCTGCTTAGTTTGAAGGTGTCCCCACCTACCCAGACGTTGGGCGAATGTGGAGCATCGTTGACAAGTACAAGGTGACCAAGTTCTACACAGCACCCACAGCCATCCGGCTGCTCATGAAGCACGGGGAGGAGCCCGTCAAAAAGTGAGTGCCAGTCCCCGGTGGTGTGGGGATCCGGGGCCCTGGCGCAGCCAGAGGCTCCCAGTGTAGGATGAGGGGCTCCTGTGTCCTCTCTGAGCAAGAGCTTCCCCAGCAAATTTTCTGAACAGACCAGGATCTTCTGTCTTCTGCGCGGCAATACGCAGGCTGTGTTCCTGCGCTTGCAGCACCAACTTCATTACGGCACTTCTGAGCAGGTCCTCCCCTTTGCCCGTAAGGTTCAGCTAAGCTCAGAGGTTGCAGGTTCTCCCTGCTCCTCATCCAAAGCTCACAGAGGTGTGCTGGGCAGAGAAGCCCCTCTGCATGCTGCTCCTTGGCCTCAGGAAACAAGGGAGTGGAGCCAAATGGGAGCTGGGAGTGGGAGACACCAAAATCACAGAAGTCTCCTTTCTTCCCCCATGAAAAGTGTCTGAACCATGGCTGGAAGCCCCAGGTACCCTTTGGGTAGCCCTGGGGTTCCAGCAAGCTCACAGCTGCTGCTCTCCTTGGCCCGCTGAGCCCCTGCCAGCCCCCTCCTCTCTGCAGGCACAGCAGGAAATCTCTGAAGGTGCTGGGGAGCGTCGGCGAGCCCATCAACCCTGAAGCCTGGCTGTGGTACTACCATGTGGTGGGAGAAGAGAGGTGTCCCATTGTGGACACATTCTGGCAAACAGAGACAGTGAGTCCTTGCCTGGGTGTCCCTGGGACCTCTCTTTCCCGTGGGCTCCCCACAGGGTGTCTTCCCAGGTTTACTGTAGCGTTTCTTTGGTTCCATGTCGACTAGGCATTTTGCTTGCCCACGAGACTCTAGTGTGGCCTTGAAGTGCTGGTTCCCTTCTCCTCTTTCTTTCTCAGGCCTCAGTCAGGCTCCAAGGGGAGACCTTCCTCTCCAGTGGGTCCCTGCCAAGGTCTGCTCTGGACCCTGCTTTCCTCCCTCTCTTTTGTCCCCCAGTAGCTCCAAAGCTTTGTGCTTTGGGTGCCTGTCACCTGCTTTATCCTTCCCAAGGCCCCATCTCCACAACTGCCCCGAGCACCTGAGGTGTGAGGTGACCACAGCCGACACAGGCAGCTGTGTTACGGGCTGGCACAGCCCAAACTCATTTTTGCCTCTTTTTGCAGGGTGGCCACATGCTGACACCCCTCCCTGCTGCCACCCCCATGAAGCCGGGCTCTGCTGTAAGTACTTCTGTTCTCCTCCCCAGGGGTGGGGAGGGCTCTCTGGGGATTGCAGCAGGGCTCTGACATTGGCTGTGCCATGGCCTGGTGGTCACCAGGGTAGTCGTGAGGTCGTGTTGCATGCGGGGAGTTGGCCACCACCCAAAATCCCAGGCCTGGCCCCATGCACCTGTGCCATGGCCTCTCCAAAGATGCCCTTTCTCTGCCTCCTGCTTGCTCTGGTTCACGGGGTTTTGATGCAGGGTCTCACCTCCATGTCTCCTTGCTCTCTGGTCCTCATGGCAGACGTTCCCCTTCTTCGGTGTGGTCCCTGCCATCTTGAACGAGTCGGGGGAAGAGCTGGAAGGAGAAGCAGAAGGCTACCTGGTAAAGAAGGGCCGATGCCCACCCTCCCCTTGTCCATTTCCCAAGAGCTCTGGGACCTTCCTGGTAGCGCACACACATCTCTGGGTCCACACAAGGGAGCCTCTTGGGTGGCAGGAACCCCCTTCACTGCCATAACTCACTGGGAGCTTCGTGCTGTAAACAATCTGATGGTTAAATGCACTGGCACACATGGGCAAGGCAGGAGGACAGAAACAACTTTTCAGCCAAGCTCCTTCCCCCATGCCAAGCCTGGTGAGACTTTCCCAGTCGCTCAGTGCTGGGCAGCAAGAGGCTGAGTGTCACCACTCAGGGCTGTCTCTGTAGCACCTCTGTCACTGCATCCACCTCTGTCGCTGTGGTGCAAAGCCCAGGTTGTTGGTTTTGTGCCGACTGACCGTCTTTTTCACCATCAGGTATTTAAGCAGCCCTGGCCAGGAATAATGCGCACGCTGTATGGAAACCACCAGCACTTTGAAACTACATACTTCAAGAAGTTTCCTGGGTACTATGTGACAGGCGACGGTAAGGGTGGCCAGGGAGTGTCTGGCTGCAGCGACCTGGGGACAGCAATTTAAATCTTGCCATGTCCTGGCCTCAGAATCTGTTATCAGTTGCTCCGAGGGCTGGCGCTGCTTCCTTATGCTGTCATTTCTGGCTATTTTTAGGTTGCAGGAGAGATAAAGATGGTTATTACTGGATCACAGGGCGAATTGATGACATGTTGAATGTTTCTGGTAAGAATGAGTTTTGTCTTCAGTGGTGACCAATGTGCTTTCTGACACTAGTTAAAAAAAGCACCTTGCTTTATGGGGGACACTCCTGCATCTGTGACTCTGCCTAGCAACCTGTTGTCAAAGTGGATCCAATTGCGGGGCCACATTTATTTCCGAGACAGACAAGGCTGTGACGTGGTGACTTTCTGCATCGTTTCGTCTGGAGATAACGGACCAGAGGGAAGGAACCTGCTGTAACCTCTTAGAGCAAGTCCTTACCCAGCCAAGGTGCCTCTCTGCTGAAGGATTTAGGGCCACAGGGGGTCACAGAGGTTGGGCAGGACCATGTGGTCCCTCATCCAACCTGCTGCTCCATGTAGGGCTTAACCCCAAAGCTGGATCAGGCTGCTTGGAGCTGTGTCTGCAGAGGTGGAGATTCTCCCACCCATCTTGACTGAGTTTTTGAGATTCAGCTGCTTCTCAGCGTGTTGTTTCCCGTCCTCTGTACTTAAAGCTCCCTCTCCCTTTTCCCTGGAGGCCATAGCCTACAGGTGCTTACTGCTGCCTGTGAGATGGTGCTGGACTTGACTCTGGATCAAAGTACATCCATTCCTCTGACCAGCAGTGCTTGATCCTCCACCAGCTGATGGTTCTGGGTGTTGACTGCTTTGTCAGAGCACAGGTGCAGGAGCAGGGGTGTGCAGGAAGGAGTTGTGCCCCTGCCCTGAGATGTGGAGCATCATTTCATTTCCCCACGGCGATGAGCTGGCGCACTGTGTGGAGCTGGGCTGGTTCCTGGGCTCTGAAGATCCTCTTCCTCTTCTGCACCTCCCAGCTGACCATGGGGGCAGGTCTCCTCTTACTGAACCCAGCTCCTCCTCAGCTTGGGGTTGGTTTAATCCCAAGGCTGTGAACAGTTCATGATCTATTTAAGAAAAAAGCACCTAAATGTGAGAGAACAGCTAGGGGAGATGGCCTTGCTCTGCAGAGAACTGATACCTGGCAGCTTCAGCACTGCTGAAATTAGTTTCTCTCTCTCCAGCTGTTGTCTTTTCTCAAGTAAATGAAATCGATGCAGTCGTACCTAGAGTTTAAGGCCTTTTACACCTGCAGAGCTCTTCCTCCCAGCTGCAGGACCCCAGCCCCACGCAGGTCTGTAAATCACTGCCTCTCCTTGCTTCCAGGCCACTTGCTGAGCACTGCAGAGGTGGAGTCAGCCTTGCTCGAGCACGCTGCCATCTCGGAGGCCGCGGTGGTCAGCCGCCCCCACCCCCTGAAAGGCGAGAGCATCTACTGCTTTGTGACCCTGAGAGATGGCCACGAGTTCACCAAGAACCTGACAGATGAGCTGAAAAAACAAGGTAGAGGCAGCCAAATACTTGGGAGGTTACGTGCCGAGGAGAGGGAGGACAGCGCTGGGCAGGTGATGGAGGAGTTAAGGGCTTGGGCGCTTCAACGAGAATTTGTGTAGTCGGGGGAATGCGGCATGGACAACTGCGACAAGGTGCCCCCTCTGATCAGAGAGCACGGCTGGCGGAGACTAAAATTAGTTCTCCCAGCCTTTGGCTGCTCACGTGATGCCATCTCTACCTCTTGGGAGCTGGCAGCTCTCGGAAGGACTGGGGTACCTGTCCAGCTTTTGTTTGCATCAGCACTCTCCTGGGTGGGCAGAGCTTTGGACTTGCTGCCAGGACCGTTCGGTCACTTTGGGGTAGTGCTCTGGGTGTGTGTGCTCTCAAGGGAGCTCCTTCGTTGTCCTGACAGGCTGCAGCATTTAGTAAGTCAAATGGAGCCGTGGCAGTTCGTTCACTGTAGGAACCCAACGGTGAAGCAGTCCTTCCTTTATCAAAATGGTAATGGTGATTGGCGTAGCCGTTACAGAGGTCTCTTGAAGATGGAGAGAATGAAAAACTGAGTACTTCTGCTTTGGGGAAGATGTGCTTATAGCCCTGTTGGCACTGCAGGTCTTGGTGCCCTCTCCCACAGCCCAGAAGCTCAGGGGCAGCAGCCCGAATTGCTGCCCTTACCCGGTTCCCCAGAAGCTGGGCTCTGCTCTGCATGTCATAACTGGGTCATCCTCCCTGAAAAGGAGGAGTGTGATATCCTCTAGTACCTACAATTAAAATACCTTTTTTATTTTTTTTATTGCAGTCAGAGAAAAAATCGGACCGATAGCAACGCCTGATTACATCCAGTATGCCCCTAGCCTGCCCAAAACCCGCTCAGGTAAGGGGCCCAGAGCCAGTGCTTGGCGGGGCTGAGTAGTTCCCGCCCGGG